GCCGGCCCCGCCCCGCGAGGAGCTCCGCTTCCCCCCGCAGCCCGCGTCCGGCGGCGCCCAGCGCCACGAGCAGCCGCAGCCCGGGCGGCGGATCGGCTACAAGTTCCTGGAGAGCCTCCTGCACAGAGACCCGTCGGAGGTGGTCATCACGCTGGTGTCCAGCTCGGGGCTCCGGGAGCTGCTGGCGCAGGTGGCCATGAAGCCCGGCTTCCTGGAGCTGCTGTGCCAGGTGCTGCGCAAGGCGTGCAGCTCCCGCATGGACCGGCAGAGCGTGCAGCAGCTGCTAGGGTTGGTCAAGGAGTCCAACTTCCTCAAGGTCTGCCTGCCGCAGTACGCGGCTGACATGATGACGGAGCCCCTGCCCGCCCTGCGGCAGCAGTACCCGAAGCACGTCGACAACATCATCGCGCTCCTCCAGGACCTGGTGAGCATCTTCCCAGCCAGCTCCGTGCAGAAAATCTCCGTGCTGATGTCCATCCTGCCAGCCTCCATCAACGTGCTGAGAGCCTCCGGCGTGGACATCGCGGAGCAGACGGAGAGGAGCTTGGAGAAGGTCCAGGCCCTGATCCAGCACCTGCAGGAGAAGAAGCGCGAGGGCACCCTGCGGGCTGACAGCTACACGCTGCTGCAGCCCCAGCCTGGCGGGCAGGAGGACTCCTATCGCGCCATGACCGTCTACCCCACCTACAATGAGGTGCACCGGGATGAGAAGCCCTTTCTTCGCCCCAACATCGTGTCTGGGAGGTACGAGAGCACCGGCGTTTACCTGGACACGCATTTCCGGCTCCTGAGAGAGGACTTCGTCAGGCCTCTGAGGGAAGGCATCCTGGAGCTTCTGCAGAGCTTTGAAGACAAAGGCTTGAGGAAGAGGAGGTTTGATGACATCAGGATCTACTTCGACACGCGGATCATCACTCCACTCTGCTCCTCCTCCGGCATCGTCTATAAGGTCCAGTTTGACACCAAGCCGCTGAAGTTCGTGCGGTGGCAGAACTCCAAGCGCCTGCTCTACGGCTCCCTGGTCTGCATGTCCAAAGACCACTTCGAAACCTTCCTCTTTGCCACGGTGTCCAACCGCGACAGTGCCGACCTGGCCAAGGGCATCGTGCAGCTGTGCTTCACGGGGCACAGCCAGGCACTGCTGGCAGAGGCCCAGCCCTCGGACTCCTTTCTCATGGTGGAGACAACAGCCTACTTCGAAGCCTACCGGCATGTGCTGGAAGGGCTGCAGGAGGTCCAGGAAGAAGACGTCCCTTTTCAGAAGTACATTGTGGAGTGCGACACCCTCGTGGGGGAGCCGGCGTACTTGAGGACAGGCAGCGCCTACAACCTCACACCTCTGCTGGAGGAGCCCTCCCCAGATGGAGAGGGGGGCCTGGCCAGCCCCGAGGGCTTGAGGAGACCGAGGGTGAATGTTCTCGACCCCAGCCAGTGGCCTTCCATGGAAGCCTTGAAGCTGGACGAGTCGCAGATGCAGGCCTTGCAGCTGGCGCTCACCAAGGAGCTGGCCATTATCCAGGGGCCTCCTGGAACTGGTGAGAGAGGCTGGCTTACAGCTGCTGTTTGGTGGCTTTTCGCAAACTCCCCTAAGCCCCCTCTTCTACAAGCCCCACCTGATGAACACAAGGCGGAGAATAATCCTAGTGAGGGGCAATGCTGCGTGCCTTGCTGTCTGCACCCAGCACTCCCGCTCCAGCCCCACTGCCGCGGGACTCTCCCCCTGTGGAGAATGCACAAGCCCCGCCGGGCCCGTGCAGTGAATAGTGGCCCTCTTTAGGGACAGGCATGTTCCTCTTGCTTAGGAAGGAAGGGCTGGCCCTAGATCTCTCTCTCCTGGCCCATGGGCAGGTATGGTCTAAATGCCTTTCTGCTCAATCCAGGGAGGATCGGGGCAGCCAGGCAGCTGCCCTGTGACTGCATAGTACCTCCAGGCCCCTATTGTGTGGCGGAGTCTGTCAGATGCGTCCACAGTGCTGGGTAGCTCCACTGGAGCCAGGGGCACGAGGCACGTGGGCCATCCTCTGCTCTGCGTGAATGGCTGAAGCGCCAAAGTCTGGATTTGGCCGTAACCCAAATACAGCCTTCAAGCGGGTTTGTGTTGTGGGCAGAAGGACCCTCTAGGATCCTGGGGCTGTCATGGGTCTTGCACCGTAGCCCTGCACTGTCAGTTGCTCCCTTCCTAACACTGTAGGCTTTCAGCTCCCAGTCCTCTGACCCCCTGACACGCTGCAGTGCTGACTGCAGAGGTTTCAAACTAGATCCCGCTGTCATGGTCTAGACGGCACGTGGGGCTTGGGCCTCCAGAATGATTCTGGGTTTGTCCTGCAGGGAAGACCTATGTGGGTTTGAAGATCGTCCAGGCTTTCCTGACCAATGAGCAGGTGTGGCAGAGCATCACCCAGAAGTCTCCCATCCTCGTGGTCTGCTACACCAACCATGCCCTGGACCAGTTCCTGGAAGGTTAGAGGGTCTGTGTGGTAGAGGAGGGAAGCCCTTTTGGATGGGGGGAGGAGCTCGGGCCCGTGCTCTGTGCTGGAGCTGTCTAGCCTTTCACTCCGGTGGCTGCCTTGGGTCCAGTCCTTGCTGCTGTGCAGTGCGAAGGCCTCTTTGCAAGCCAGCCGAGCTGAACCCTGAGGAGGTGCGCTGGGGCACGGGAGCTGTCCTTCCCTCCAGTGACATGTTCCTTTTGTGCTCAGGGATCTACAAGTCCCAGAAGAGCGGGATCGTGCGTGTGGGGGGCAGAAGCAGCAGTGAGGTCCTGAAGCAGTTCACGCTGCGGGAGCTGAGGAAAAAGTGTGACTTCCGCCGCAATCTACCACCACACCTGCGCAGGGCCTATGTAGACGTACGTGCAGGACCCAAGCCGCCTAGGAGAGGGCTGCCTCCATCAGGGAAGGGACCCCCAGGAAACCGCTCCATGGAGCTGGCTCTGCCAGGCCATCTCCTCACCTGCCCTTCAATCTGCAGCTGATGCTGACACCCATCTCTTGATCTGTCTGTTCTTGTTTTCTGTGTGGCCCTTTCCTTTTCCCTCTGCTGTTCCTGGATTCTGTCTTCCCGGAGCGCAGTACCCCTGAAAGCCTCTTTCTTGTGTTGGGCAGATCACAAACCAGATGAAGCATTCAGAGCAGGAGCTGCGTGAGGGAGCCAGGCACCTGGAGTGCACAACGTACGGCGTGCTGCACGAGCGTCACCTGGAGAGATACATCTCCCCGCAGCACTGGGACAGCCTGACGACTGGGCCGGTAAGAGGAGCTTCCTCTCCCGGGGCCAGGCCCCTCCTGCTCCATGTCTGCCTGGCTGCACCTCTTGTCCAGGTAACCCACAGTGCCCAGGGCAGTGATACCAGCCAGCGGGACCTGACCATCCCCAGAGCAGGGCTCTGTGGGAATGAGATGTTGATTTCACTGCCTGAGTAGGAGCTCACAGCAAGGAGGTGCTGTGAAGAGCTTGTGAATTGACTGGTGCCCTGAATAGACCCGATCCCTGCACCGCAGAATTCAGCTGGCTGCAATAGTCAAGTTCCTTGCCCTTGCAGTCATAAAGAAATCCTCCTCATCCGAATCTGATAGCATAGGTGCAAGGAGAATGTGAGTGCTGGCCCCGGGAAACCAGGAGCAGCCTCTGAGGCTTGGGGGAATAGAAACTTCCTTTAGCTCACTGCTTGCCTAGGTTTCAAGCTGTTCCTTTTTAACTGTATAAAGCACAGATCACAAGGAAACCTTCCTGCAGTAGTCAGTAAAAATCTGTTCCTTAAGGATCCTGAAGCCACCAGAGATGTGCCAGGGTAGCCACACTTGACACCGCAGGCAGCAGCCTTCGTTGTGCTCTGGGGTCTGGGCCACATTCATGCATTGAAGAGAAGCAGGTGCGGGTTTGGCATGGTCTTGAACTTGGCAGCAGAGCTCACCCGCCTGGTGGTTTGTTTCTCTCTGGCCAGGAGGACGAGTGGTTTTACTGCTTTGGTTCGAGGCACTCGATGATTTTGGAATGGCTGGGCCTTGGTGTCAATACCTTCACCCAGAATACTGCAGAGAACCCAGGGCCTGAAACCACAGGTAAGAGACTTCTCCTCTGCAGGGCATGTGTGCAGGCACAGAGCTTGAGAGGGAGCTGCCACCCATCGGGTTTTGAGAGGTGTGCAGTACGAGGGGGAGAAGAGAATATGTGCAGTGCTGTGAATCCTGGATCTCTGCATTCCAGCATCTCCCTCCAGCAGTGGCCAGATGTGTCTGTGTGTGTAACTGGGTGACTCCCCTGCAGGTGGCCAGCAGGAGGGGGAAGAGGAGGAGGAGGGAGAGGTACAAGAGGAGCTGCTGGAGATCGAAGAGGAAGCTGACCTGATCCAGGCGGACCGAGTGATCGAGGAAGAGGAGACAGCCCGGCCCCAGCGGAGGAAGGAAGAAGAAAACGGGGCAGTCATGGAACTGGCCAATCGCCTGCTGGCCATGAAGCTGGAGAAACAGGGCCTGGGAGCAGCCCAGCCACACCAGGAAGGAGAGTGGGAGGTAACTGCGCAGGTGCACGTGGGCACTTGTTTCTGCCCTTCGTGCCAGATGTTTCTGGACAAGCAGGGAGTGAAGGCACATGGGTGCAGGGAAGTCCCTCCAGTGTTGGTGTGTGATGGGCTCTCCACAGATGCAGCCAGCTCAGAGGAAGAAAATGAAACATAAGGTGAAGGCTGAACTTCATAAGCTGAGCACGATGACAGAGGAGCAGGCTGAGGCTATCCAGGATCTGTGGCAGCTGGACCTTGGCTCCCGCTGGCAGCTGTACAGGTAACCAAACTCCTGGGTCTGTGGAGCAGACAGTGTCAAGGTGCAGTCCCTGCTCCGCCCCCATCTTCCCTCAGTGAGTGGTTTAAACCTATCAAGACTCAAGGTCCCCTTGGAAAATGCCAGCTCTTTGCTTTGACTCATTTTTTTACTGGAGAAATGGAGCAATTCTTCCACTGCAAAATGCTCAGAGAGACCACTACTGGTCAGAACATGTTTGATGCTGGATTTCTATTGGGAATGCCTGGGTCTTAGCTAGTGAATCCGCACTGCTGGGTGTGGAAATGCTACAGAGGGAGCTGAGCCCAGTGCTAGGTGCCTTACCTAAGGTCATGCAGAATCCTGGGCCTGGGTCTCTCCCAAGAAGGTAAGTGAGTGCCCTGGCCCCTGCCCGGCCCCTCCTCTCATGGTGCCTGTGCCCCTCCCCAGGCTCTGGCTGCAGATGTACCAGGGTGATATCCGGCGGCAAATCCTGCAGCACGAGCGGCAGTACCAGGTGGCAACGGAGCGGCTGGCTGAGCTGCGGCTGCAGGAGGACCTGTGCATCCTCAAGGAGGCCCAGGTTGTGGGCATGACAACCACAGGTGAGTGGAGTGTGGGAAATGTGCTGGCTTTGCCTCCTGGGCCACCTGCCAGGACGTGGTCCCTGAAGGGTTTGATGCCCAGCACTGAGGCAGCTCACGTGGAGCAGGGAACCCGCCCCTGCTGCATCCTCCTTAGCAGCCAGCAGAGGGAGTCTGACAATGCAGGGCTCAAGGAAAATCCTGTCTTGCCCTCAAGAAGGAGCTTCCCAACAGTTCCCGGCCTGCTGGCTGGGGCTGACCACAGCTTATGCCTGTCACATCCACTGCAGGCAGCCCACGAACAAGAGGCAGTGTCAGCCTTGTGCTCTGACTCTTTGCAGTGTGAGCTAGCTAAGTCCCTTTCTCTTCCATGGGCTGAGGAGGCTGGGAGCAAGGGAGAAGCATGGGTCCCAAGGACACCTCTGTGCATGTGTTCATTCCCTTCCCTGCCACCAGTTCTGGGAACTGTCCTTGGTATGGTCCAGGATGCCAGTCTAAAGGTTTATTTGGATGTGGTGCCTTGGAGAGCCTCTCTTGTTCTCCTAGGAACACAAGGGAACTGGGGCCTGGTGAGGGTCTCTCCCTCCCTATAAAGGGCAGTCCTAAAGCACTTGACCACTGACTGGCTGCAGGGGGGCCCCGGTCCACTCCATGCTCTTGTTTCCACTGTCAGGTGCTGCCAAGTACCGCCAGATTTTGCAGAAAGTGGAACCTCGAATTGTCATAGTGGAAGAGGCAGCAGAGGTGCTGGAGGCTCATACGATCACCACGCTGAGCAAAGCCTGCCAGCACCTTGTCCTCATCGGAGACCACCAGCAGGTACTGCACCAGCGTGCACCGGCCCCTCCGCTGCGGAGGCAGATGGAGGATTCAGAGAAAGGTGTGGGAAAAGGAAGGTTTTGCAAGTGGGGCTGGGAAAAGACCTCATCATGGTCTTCTTCCCTTTCAGCTGCGGCCGAGTGCCAATGTGTATGACTTGGCCAAGAACTTCAATCTGGAGATGTCCCTCTTCGAGCGGCTGGTGAAGGTTGGCCTCCCCTTTGTTCGTCTGAGTTACCAGGTGAGCAGCAGCTTCAGCATCCCCTCTTGCTGCATTCGTGCCCTGTGGGAACCCAGAGTTGGAGTCCTCTGGAAGTTCGGCCTTGTATCTTCCCCCTGGACAATCTGTCAGAAAAGCATGTGCTGCCTAGTGCCTGAGAAGGGTCTTGGGATCTGTCTGATCCAGCTGCTGTGTCCCTTCAGGGTGTAGGCTCCACGTCAAAGACACTGCTGCCAGGCTCTGTTTGTGCTTTAAGTGACGTTGGTACAGGGGAATGGTGTGTTAACAATCTCTGTTCTTTGCTGGTTACTGCTAGTGAAAGCTGCCTGGCCATCCTGAAATCGAAACATTTTAACCACATGGGTGGCAGCAGGACAAATTTCCCCATACTGTCTCCTGTAGATCTGCCATAGCCTCTTTTGCTCAAGTTCTTACCCTATGCCCACCATGCTGGCTCGGCACCTGGTAGAACCAGCTATCCGCCTGAGAGAAGCTCCCTTCCAGACCCATTCAGTGCTTGCTCTCTCCCAGCACTTCCAGTGTGGAGCCCGATTCATCTCGATGATATTGCTGGCAGTTTACTGTAGTCTGGACACCTGTCCACTGGGACCTGGGTTGAAATCACCAAACGTATTTACTGCATTCCTTGCAAACAGCCTTTGTGAAGACACTTCTGATCCCTTTCTGCTGACTGGACTGGAATGGCTGATAGAGCAGGGGGTGGCCTTGTGAGTCTTGGTTTCTGTGTCATGGTGGTTGCTCTATGTGTGTTCTTGTTCCCCAGTGAAGCCAGAGATTGTTAGCAGGGGAGAGGCACAGTTCACTCCAGCGTGAGAAGTTGGCTGTGCTCATCCGGCAGTGCTGACCTGACAACTTTGTATTTCAGCACCGCATGCGCCCTGAGATTGCCCAGCTCCTTACTCCTCACATATACCAGAAGCTGGAGAACCACCCCTCGGTCCTCACTTATGAGAACATCAAGGTACGTTCACAGCTCGTGCCAACCAGTATGTCTCAAACCTTTTACTGGTGACTGGGACCCTCTGTTTAGCTCCATCACACCTGGTTGCTTTCTGGGGTTATACTGAAGTGCCTCGACCTTGCTTGTTAAATTCGGGTATTTTAAAAATATGACAGCTGACTTGGGAATTAGGTGCTATGGGAGGCAATTGTATGTGGCAGCAACAAGACATACTATGGTGCTGCATTCAGTTCTTACAGCAACCTTCTAAGAAAGATGATGAAGACCTGAAAGATGCAGAATGATGCATAGATGATTGAAGGTTCAAAAAACACTTCTAGAACGAGGCACCCTAGGAACTTAATCTTCTTATCAGAAAACAGATCAGCAACTCGATTGTTATGTATATTTACTTCATGAGGTGAACATACCAGCACCCATGGATTCCTTAATGTAGCAGAGATAAATGAGAACCAACAGGTGAATGCTGAACTGAGGCAAATTTTAAATTAGACCAGATACACTTAGCAGTGAGGATGACTAACAGTGGAGCAGAGTGGTAAGAAACAGTGTGGGAAGGCCAGTAGGGGCCAACCTTTTTGGCAAGAATGCCACAAGCGCAGCCCAAAGTATGAGCCAGTGCATCTACTGTACTGCCGTCATCCATAAACTAGTTATGTTGGCACAAAAGGAAAGGGCTGCCAGATACTCCTTCCTCCTTCAGACAAAATACAACACCTTAAGTACTCAGGCCCAAAAGCAGAGTGAAAGGAGGAGGGAGAACGCACCTCTAAATTAATGAGCTTATTTGGATTTCAGAACCAAAGTGCCACAGACCCTGAGATAAGGCTTATGTGGACTGCAAGTACCACACAGACACGTCACTGGAAAGTGCACGTGTGCATTCCACCTAAGCTACTGGGTATCTGAAAGTGATAAAGTCTGTCCATCCACCCATTCCCCTGCCCTCAAAGGAAAACTTGCATTTACTGTATGGAACATCTGCCTGCAAACATCCATCAGCACCCATCCCTTCTACATAATGTGAAGAATATTGCAGGTAATGGGAGAACTCAGGTCTTCCAAATAGGACAGCACTGACAACTCAGAAATGCCACACTATCATGACTCTGAGGCATGGCTTGCAACCTGAAAGTCTTTCTTTCTTGCTAGGTATGTTGTGGAAATGTCTGACAGAGGCTCTGCCTTAGGTGTGTGAAGCTCTGGGCCTTGCCCCCCCCCCCCAAGTCTGTAAACTATGCAGGAAGTCTTAGAGGGAAAAGATGCAAAAGGGAAGGTTGCCATGTTGGAAGGAACTCTCCTTTTCCCTGGTGACCCTTCCCTCTCTTTTCATTTCAGGGGGTTGTATCTAACCTCTTCTTTGTGGAGCATGACTTCCCTGAAGAGGAAATCCAGGAAGGGAAAAGCCATCAGAACCCACACGAGGCCAAATTCGTGGTGGAGCTATGCAAGTACTTCCTGTGCCAGGACTACCTGCCCTCTCAGATCACCATCCTCACCACCTACACTGGGCAGCTTTTCTGTTTGCGCAGGCTCATGCCTGCCAAAACCTTTGCAGGTGTGAAAGTTCATGTGGTGGATAAGTACCAGGGTGAGGAGAACGACATTATCCTGCTTTCACTTGTGCGAAGTAACAGGGAAGAGAGAGCTGGATTCCTGCAGATTTCCAACCGGATCTGCGTGGCGTTATCCAGAGCCAAGAAAGGGCTGTACTGCATTGGGAACATGGGGATGCTCAGCAAGGTCCCCCTCTGGAGCAAGATCATTCACACCCTCCGAGAGAAAGGTCGGATTGGCCACTCGCTGATACTGTGCTGCCAGAACCACCCTGACACTCGGACCCTGGTGTCCAAAGCAGCAGACTTCTACCAAGTTCCAGAAGGGGGTTGCAGCCGCCCCTGTGAGTTCAGGCTGAGTTGCGGACATGTCTGCACTCGGGCATGTCATCCCTATGACACCCAGCACAAGGAGTTTCAGTGTCTGAAGCCTTGCCACAAGGTGCTCTGCAAAGATGGGCACCGTTGCCCCCATTTGTGCTCTGAACCCTGTGGAGAATGCATGGTGAAAGTGCCGAAAACTATCCCCAAATGTGGCCACCCACAGATGGTTCCTTGCTCCATCCCTGCAAGTGAGTTTTCTTGTCAAGAGCCTTGTCAGAAGTATCTGACATGTGGGCACAAATGTAACAAGTTCTGTGGGCAGGAATGCACTGCCCAGTGTCCTGAGCTGGTGCTGGTCACATTAAAATGTGGCCACGACCAGCAGGTGAAATGCTGGATCACGAAAGAGATGGAAAATGGGATGCCTGTGAAGTGTAAAACGAAATGTGTGACCACGCTGGACTGTGGCCATGCCTGCCCAGGCTCCTGCAACACTTGTTATGAAGGGCGATTTCACGAGCAGTGCAAGAACCCCTGCAAGCGCTTCCTAGTTTGCTCCCATAAGTGTCAGCAGCCTTGCACCGGGGAGTGCCCTCCCTGCCAGCAAGCATGTCAGAACCACTGCATCCACAGTCAGTGTAAAAAGAAATGTGGGGAGACGTGTATCCCATGCATGGAGCCATGCGAGTGGCGGTGCCAGCACTACCAGTGCACACAGCTTTGCTCAGAGCCATGCAACAGGCCCCGCTGTGATGTGCGGTGCAGTAAGAAGCTGCGTTGCGGTCATCCCTGCATCGGGCTGTGCGGGGAACCCTGCCCCAGAAAGTGCCTTGTGTGTGACCACGATGAAGTCACTCAGATATTTTTTGGCTTTGAAGAGGATCCGGAAGCCTGCTTTGTGCAGCTAGAAGACTGCGGCCACATCTTTGAGTCCCAAGGTCTCGACTATTACATGGACGAAGACGAAAGTGCCGTCAAGCTGAAGGTGTGTCCCAGCTGCCAGACGCCAATTAGAAAGAACTTGAGATACGGCACCATTGTGAAAAAGCGGCTGGAGGAGATCGAGAAGGTGAAGGAGAAAATCCAAGGCCCAGCACGTGAAATTGAAACGAGCAGGCACAGGCTGCAGGCCATGCTGGAAGGGAAGGCGGTGCTGCGGAGGGTGCTGCCTACCAAATACGACCGGCTGGAGGAGAGGCTGAAGCAGCCCAACCTCTCCACGAAGAGCGTCGGGCTCCTGGAGAACCTGATCAACTTCTACGAGCGCGTTGCGGACCTGACCGGGTCCCTGGGCAAGCTGGACCCAAGCGAGCGGGAGGTGCTGAGGAAGCGGCTGGCTGAGGTGCAGGAGTGGCTCAGCAAGGAGCGGCTCAGCTTCAGCAGCCAGGAGCTGTCGGACCTGCAGAGCGAGATGCAGCGGGTGACGTACCTGGCCAACCTCCTGACCCGCTGCAGCGGTGCTGGCACGTGGCTCAGTGCCGCGCTGGCCAGGGACGTTGCTGCCTTGCGCACAGTGCTGCAGCGCACCGGGAGGTTCACACCGGAGGACGAGGCGGCGGTGCGGGTGAAGATGGAGGAGCTGAAGGCCGCGCTCCCCGCGTCAGGGCTGGGCATCTCGGAGGAGGAGCGGGTGCAGATCGTCAGCGCCATCGGCTGCCCGCGCGGCCACTGGTTCAAGTGCAAGAACGGGCACGTGTACGTGATCGGGGAGTGCGGTGGGGCCATGGAGCAAGGCCGCTGCCCCGAGTGCCAGGCCGTCATCGGCGGCCGCAACCATGCGCTGGACGACTCCAACCGCCTGGCGCCCGAGATGGACGGCGCCGCGCACGCCGCCTGGTCCGACACGGCCAACAACCTGCTCAACTTCGAGGGGCTCGGCCGCCTGCTCTAGGCCGCGCCTACGCCCGCGCCACGGCCCGCCGCACTTTACCGCCCCGCCCCCCACAACCGCCCGCGCTGTCCGCGTTTTCACCGCAATAAATTTTATCCAGTGACGCAAGGTGCCTGCTCCGCCCCGGGGGTGGGTGCGGGGTCCTGCCGTCACTCGAGCAGCGCCGGAAGT